GCAGCGGGGTGGCCTGCCTGCTGAGAGGCCCCGGGGCTCCCTGGATCTCTGGGGGCCGGGGCCCACTTCTTGCTGCGGCAACAGGCTGGGGCCGCGGGGATCTACTATGGACGGCGTCGGGCGGGGCCGGGGCAGGGCCGCCCCAAACCACGCGCACATAGTCCCAGTCCAGGTACGGAAGGAGGTCGGTTCCAGGCGACGGAGTGCGCGGCTCGGGGCCGCTGGAGGCGGCGGAGAAGGAGCTGTAGGCCGAGTCTGCGCGCGTGGACAGCCGCCGCAGGTCCAGGCTGCCGGCGGACGAGGCCGGGGAAGCGCGGTCACCCCCAGGACCTAGGGCCTCCATCCTGGGCAGACGGGTGCCGAGGCTGGCTAGCTTCGGGGGTCCTGGAGAACACAGATGCGGTGCTGGGTGAGGGATTCTGGGTAAGGATCAGGACAGCCTGCTGGCCCTTCTACGGAGGCCAGGGCACGTTTTCCACGTCCCCACCCGGTCACACCGTCCCTGGAGCTGGCATCACCCCTCCTGGTTTGGGCAGAGCCATCCTCGGATCAAAGTGGAATAGGCAGTTGCCAGGAGCAACTCCAGGAGGTGACAGGCCTGGGGTCAGGGAAAGGACCTGGCGACTAGCCCAGTCCCCCCTTGGGCGCCCCTAGCCTGCCCTGGCCTCCACCCTGGCACCTCCTGGAGCGCCAAGAACTCCCGTGTTCTTTCCCTGTCCAGCCCGACCCAGCCCAGGCTGCTTCCTGGCCATTCTGTTAGGGTCTCCCTGTGATCTTTCCCTGATCAACAATGGCCACAAATGTTCCGAGCGCACAGCGGAGCCCAGAGCCAGGGCCGGACCCAAGTCAGGGGGCAGGGGCAGCTACAAAACCCCTGTCCCCCTTCCTTTGTTCCTGTTAAGGTCAAGGAGCTTTATCTCGATCCTCACAACTGTGTTCTCCAGAAGAGCACACAGAGGCCCTGTGGGGTGGGGGGTGCCCTGGAGCACGCAGCTGGTAAGTGGCAGAGACCTGCCTGAAATCTGGGCCTGCCTCCAGGCTCACTGCAGCCAGAATCAATCTTCTAGAAACTGCTGAAAGGCAGTTTTAGCATGCCCCCCTTCCCCAACTGCTTGCATAGTCCAACAAGGTCCAAACTCCACTATGGGAGGGTCCCCCCACCTACCCACACCTATTGGCAGATCCCAAACAAAATGGTCCTTGCCTTGGAGATGGCCTTTTGTCTAGTAATGACCGGGGGACTCCCCCCACCCCTTTCCCTGCTAGTCTTGCTTCTCCCATGGGACTCAGCTGGACATCCACCTGACCTTCTGGGATCCCTACAGCATCCTGAGCTTCCCTTGTCACAGCACGTACGACCTTGCACCGTTACTGCGGCGTGCTTGTGGTCCCCTCCTCCCATCCCCACCCCTGAGCTTCCTGAGGGCAGGCACTGCTGTCACTTATCACTGTACCCTCAGTGCTGGCACAGTGCCTGGCGCGAAGTCAATGTTAAATAAACACTTATCACATGGCAAGGGAGGGAACCGACCTGCAGGGAGTTGATGTAGGGGTGGCCTTGGTAGAGAAGGAAGGGGGCTCTTTTTGTTTTTTCTTTTTCCGAGAGAGATTTTTCCTATAGGGCGCTTGTGCTCACCAGAGAGACAGAGACAGAAAGCTAGACATCACCCTCCAGGGAGGATGGCCACACTACAGTCCCTTCTCCTCCATTCTCCTCTCGGGATCTTGGGCATGCATGCACACGTGCCTGGAGTGAGTTTTAAGTTGCCGGGTCCAGGACGCAAGCCACGGCTGACAACGTGGGAGTCCAGCGATGTAACTATTACGCCATCTGCTATTACCGGAAGGGGGCTCTTTAGCTTCTGCACATCCTTGACTCGTCTTAGCCTTTTCTGAGGAAGGGGTAAGTGAGGCCCATGCCACCATGGACACTGGCCAGTTACTCATGCGTTATTGGGGACAAATAGCAGGCAAGAACGGGCTAGAAACCAGTAACCACCAGTGCCGGGAGAGGGAGCAGGGGGAAGAGCTGGTGGCTGTGCCCAGGTCAGCGTGAGAGCAGCTTTGAGGCTTGGGAACCTGGGGCACCCTATGAACTATGGGGACTTTCCTGAGATGCCAGATGGGGAGCACAGAGTAGGGTGGCCCCCAGCTGGGGTAGGGACCAAAAAGCAGGTGCATTTGTGCCTCCTAGACATAATTTGTTGCTCAGAGACACCCTCCTACTTCTCTGAGACTCAGGGTGCTACAGATTACTGGTCAGGCGAGTTGGGGGGTTATTGTGGTAGGACGTGATGGGTTCTAACAGGGAGACGGGGCAGTACCTGCAACATTCCCGGAAGACCTGGGGCCAGCACATCCTGACATCACCAATCTGGGGGCAGCTTTATGCCACTAAGCCAGCCCTGCAGGCTGATCCTCACACTCAGGTTTGAGCACCTTTTTTGTAAAAAAAAGTTTTTAATAATTATTTTATTTAACTTTATTTATTTATTTTTAATTTGATCAGAGAGGGACCGAGCGAGAGTGAGAGAAAGAGAGGGAAAGTGAGAAAGCAAGTCGCCAGGTCCGGGATTCGAACCACAGTTGGCCATGTGGGAGTCCAGCATCCTTAACCACCACGCTACCTTCCAGCCCCTGCAAAATATTTTCCATTATCTAGACTTCAGGAGAACAAGAAGTTACTGTGAGTAGCAGCTCCTAGAGGATAATCCCTCCTCTACGAAGTCCACCCCAGCTGCTCGGACATCAGTGCTCTCTCTTCCTGGTCCTTCTGGGCCCAGCTTGGGAGCACTGTTTACCCACCAGGCCTGCCCATGTTGGCTTGCTGCTTCTGCAGGCAGGAAACGAAATACAAAGATGTTTCCTCAAAAGAGGCCTTGAAAATCTCTTATTTGTGCGTTAACTGTGTTAGCACAGAGTTCTGAATTCACCAAACAAACGCAGCTTGAATGGACAACAAGAATGTGTAAGCATCTCCTTTTTTTTTTCTTTTTTGGGGAGAGGTTTTTGCTATAGGGCGCGTGCGCTTGCCAGAAAGAAAGACAGAGACAGAGAGACAGAAAGCGAGAAATCACCCCCCAGGAGGAATGGCCACGCCACAATCCCTTCTCCATTCTCCTCTCGGGATCTTGGGCACACACACATGCCCGGCATGAGTTTAAGTCACCGGGTCCAGGACTCAAACCTCAGTCTACTACATAGGAGTTCAGTGACAGAGCCATTATGCTAACTGCTGGTCCCCACATCTCCCTTTTCTTAACGACCCTGTCTCAAGCATGCTTCTGGCCTGGTGGCCCTGGCAGGTTGATGTCCATGCAGAATGCTCACACTGCCCTTTGGAGAGCCTGCTGTGTAAGGACCCAGCCGCACTGGTGTGCTCTGTGGCAAGATAAAGAGCAAGGGGTTTGCAGGCCGTCTGGCTGCAGGGAGCTTCTTGCAGTCCTGCCTGATCCGGTGGCTGGGGTAGCTACGTGCTCCGGGCGCCACCTAGGGGTAGTGGGCGGCCGGCTGCCCAGCCTGTGCTGCTGCTGAGCAGAAATCTGGAGGCTGGAGCTCTGAGCACTGCATGCATTTCGCTGCGCCTCCCCAGAGCAGGAGAAGCAGCGTGGAATCCCTGCGAGCACACTCCCAGTGTGGGGGCCTGGAGGGGAACATTCCATATGTACTCGTTACCTGAATAAAGAGCAAGCGAGGAAGAGGAGACAAAGGCGCGCTTGGTATTCAGAGCTGGGGTTTGCGAGGTGAAGGTACCAGTCTGGAAGGGGGTCGCTGGGCCTGGGGACTGACCAAGGCCCCCAGAGCTCATCAGTGTGGGGCTTGTGGGCTTCGCAGGGACTGCAGGGAGCCTGGTAGCCACTGGGAGTTGGATCTGGACCTTCGCATTCAGGGGGCGACCAGGCAAGCAGGAAGACCCAGGTTTTTAGTTAACAGGTTGTTGGGAACATTTCCAGCGGGTAAAAATCACACCAAAACAGTGGAAGCAGATCCAGGGACAGTGACAGAGGCACAGGAGAATGGATAGCCCTGAACGCAACACATGATCAAGACCTGAGTCGCGGTTCTCTCAAGGGTCACCCCATATGACCTCTCTGTGGAGGGGCTGTCCAGGCCCCGGTGCCTGGTCTTCCCTCTGTGCAGTCCTGGGGGCACCTTCTGAAGGATGGCCTCCCAGCTAGACTGCAATGCCTGAGTCCTGGGCCGCATCTCCAATCCCAGCACCCCAGGCTAGGTCTGGCTAGGTGATGCTTCTGGGAAGTTCTGCAGCATTTCCTGTCCCCAGCGAGCTCCCACTTCTCAGCCTGTGGGCACAGACATTGCACCCTGAGCTGTGTCTGGGCTCCAGTGAGCGGCTGGTTTCTGCAGCTCGTCGGTGGCCGAAGCCCAGATGCAGACTCTCCGAAGATTCCATTTCGGTGCAGGGCGCACAGGCTGCTGGCGGCACCGAGGGCGAGGTGGCCTCAGGCGTGGACAGTCCACGCACCTGGAGTTTGCTCCAAGCTCTGGGAGAGAGACTCGAGTCCTGGCTACCGCAGGGGGCGGCAGAGTCACGCGCAGTGGCGGGAGAGCGGAGCCCGGGCAACGCCGAGAGAGCGGATGGCCGCTGCCCCGCGCATTTCTCGGCCTTTCCTGTTGGGTTCGCCGTCGGGGAAGGAGGGCTCGGATCGCGTGCAGGGGGACAGCGCGACCCCGAGCAGGAGGGACTCCGATTCTCCATCTCCCCTGGGACGCGGAGCAGGAGTAGGGGGTCGTGGAGTAAGACCCCACCGCAAGCTCTGACCGCACGCAGAGCCCCGCAGCAGCTGCGCCAGCTGGGTGGGTCTGTCCCTCCCCACACCCCCTGAGTGAGGTCCCAACCAGACTGTGGGGAGTCAGATACCCCCCACCCAACGGCGCCCCGGCTGCTCCG